CAGGGAGCCCGATGTGGGGCTCGATCCCAGGACCCTGGGATCATGACCTGAGCCGAAGGCAGATGCTTAATGACTGAGCCACCCAGGTGCCCCAAGTAGACATGTTTTTAATGATGACTGGTTCTCTCCATGTTCCTTACTGGGCATTATGGAAATAGATTCAAGCATCAGATGAGAGTTGGGGTGGGGGATTGGGATAACCTTCTGAGGTCTTTTCCAGCTCTGAGATCTTAATAAGGCCAGAAAACTGTGCTTCTTCCCCTCTTATCACCACTCCCCTCACACCTGCTGCTATATTTCCACCATGGAATTTGTTACACTACGTGGCAATACACTGATTTATTCTGTACGTTGTGATAGCCTCTGAGTTCCTAGAGGGCAGAGACTGGGTCTCCTTCTTCCCTTTCCCAGCTTCCAGCCAGTTGTCTGCCTGGTTCTTTGTGGGTGCTCAGTGAAGAATTACTGCATTAAGTTGAATTGATATTCTTTATAGTCACACCACCAGGGAAGTAGCAACCCACTGAATTAAATGTTTTCTTGACAATGAGTTGTAAAGACTCTTCGGTTACCTGCTCTGACTCCGCAAGCACCACTAGTCAATTCCTTGCCTTTGTATTCAGGATTTCTTTTCCTTGTTTTTCTCATATTTGTACCTTTCTTACAGCCTACCTACTGATGTCATGAGTACTGTGTTCAAGGTTGGAGCAAAAACAGAGAAAGGCTGGTCATTCCTATTAAGCAAGTATGTCTCTGTAGACTCTGAAGCAGAGAAGAATAAAATACTTGAAGCTCTTGCCAGCTCAGAGGATGTACGGAAACTTTACTGGTACGAAACCACCCAAGCAATATGATATATAGAAACCAAAAGCATAAAAACATGGTGCTCCTAGGTTTGAGGAGCTCATTTTCTCTGGTATCTCCCTCTTCCTGCCTTTCCTTTTGGGCCAGCCTTTACTTGGACAGTGTGGGGAGGAGCCCACATGTGTTGGGCTTCGTCTCAGGGACTGGACCTGTACAGATGGGCAGGAGGTGCTTTGCCTAAAAGAGATTGGGAGATGCCAAAAATCACAGTCCCCTTCTACTTTGTGCTTAAAAACTTCTTGATCATTTGGCATGTTGTTTTTGATTCCACAGTTCGTGCTTCATTTTCTTTTTTGGTCAAGGCATTGCTCTCTCCAAGCTGATCATTTTGAAAATGCAGACACTTCAGTACAAGATAACACATAAAAGCCATATGTTATACATTCATGTGAATTTGCCAGACTTTCCCTTTTTTTTTTCTTAAAGATTTTATTTAATTGACACAGAGAGAGAGAGAGCACAAGCAGGGGGAGCAGGCGAGGGAGAGGGAGAAGCTGGCTCCCTGCCGAGCAGGGAGCCCGATGTGGGGCTCGATCCCAGGACCCTGGGATCATGACCTGAGCCGAAGGCAGACGCTTGACCAGCTGAGCCACCCAGGTGCCCCAGACCTTTCCTTTTTAATATCCAGCGGATGAAGAGCTAGAGATGGTAGGGTCACATGGGGTAAGAAGGGCAGTAGGTAGGGCTTCCTGGCAGGAAGAACAATCAGAGTCAGGGTAGAGGAGCTCTAAGTAACCAGGAGAAATGTGCAGGCATCTTGACAGTCAGCAGTGGGAAGGAAAGGAGAGGCACTTGGCTCTCATTGCTTCTCTTGCATAACTTTGCTCAGGTAAGTCCTTCTGTTCCAGAGATGTTCTTAGCACCTGCCCAGACCCACTTTCCAGAGGACGCACTGTAGTCATTTTCTCTAAAGTAGTAGCCAGCCTCTGACCCAAGCAAACAGAGGAAAGTTTTTGTTGTTAAATCAGTAATAATTTTGTGTTGAACTAGTAGTACACCAATAAATTCCCCATTATAAAGTACTTAAACAGTACCTGAGGAAACGGAATAAAATGTGAAAGTCCCTCTCATATGACCCTTCACTTCCAATCTTACTCTCTTCTCTCTGTTAACAGTGTCCATCCCGGTGTGTATTTTATATATTGAACATAGGTTTATACTGTAGCCGGTGTTCTGTAACATTCTTTGTAGTGAATGACCAGTCTTTGAGATTTGCCCTGTTCGTTCATAAAGCATATTTTCATTTGTTTCTATGGCTACACAGTATCGCACAGTACGGCTCTATCAGAGTTTATCGAATCCATCACATCTCATTGGGCATTTGGGTTTTCCCTCCCAGTAAAACTCATTCTGCATTCTTTTGGGGATATGTGTTTTCCCGCTCGAAACAGATATTGTAGCACGATAGATGAAAATTGCGTTTGTTTCCGTACCAGGCTTTAGTATTCATCAGCTGTGTTAACTCTGTCAATTTTACATAACTTCAGTTTCTTAAACTGTAACATGGAGATAGGTAATGATTCCCTATTTCAAGCCTTGTTGTGTCAAGAATTTAGAACATAATCTAGTACATATAAAGTATTGATAAATGTTAACTATTAATTTTAAAAGCATATTCTAAAATGTTTCTTGCTTTTTTACATCAAACAGCCCAGTTTTTTAAGAGTAGCAATATACGTGTCTACTCATATCAAATAAGGTTTTTAACAACAACAAAAAATCCAGTCCTCAGAGTTATAATAAACTCTACCTGAATTTATTTCCTAAATGTCCTTACTACATCAAGAACTATTTATTATTATGTGACAGTATATTTAAGTCCTTATCTTGTTGGTGAGTTCTCCCTTCCTTTAAAAAAATGACAGGTTTTCAATCTGTTGATCAATCTTAGACCAACCCAAAACTTACATGCTTTGAATTGCTTCAGAACCTTAATTAGGAGACCAGCACTGATTTTAAGTTCAGTGATCACTTCATGACAAATACTAATTTTGGAAACTAAATCTGCTTTGCTCTTCAGGTTAATGAAAAATAGCCTCAGTGGAGATATTATCCGAACACAAAAGCTGTCATTCATCATTAGAACAGTTGGCCGACATTTTCCTGGACACTTGCTGGCATGGGATTTTGTCAAAGAGAACTGGAACAAGCTTGTACAGAGGTAAGTTTCTCAGATAACTACTAATTTTTAGTATTCTCCCGTTCTTCATTTGAAACTGTTCCCAATGTTGTGTTGATTCACAGGATTTAAGATCTGCTATGAGAGGAAAAATACTTCAGTGACAGTTTAACTGAAACACCCAGAAATTTTCACCCTTGTAAATGTAATCCCATAACGTGAGTCGTTTGACAGTGGTGCTCCATTCGGGTACTCATTACGCCCAGCCATGCTTGACACTTAGGTCACTTCGTTTCACCTGGCCATGGACTATTTCAGAATAGCTGTTCAGTTATGTGTGTTGAAAAATACCTCGTCATTGCCAAGGGATTGGAGAGGAACTCACACCCACCCAGACAGCACACGGAAGACTTTTTTGCTTTCAAAATAGTAATGGCATTTCTGGGGGTAAGGTGTGATTTTTGAATCGATTAAATGAATTAATAATTTATCTGAGTATCCGTAACTCCTGCTTCTTTCTGCCCACCTTTCCTTCCCACTGGTAGTGAGAAGGCGTGTGGGGTTATTTCTGATTTACTGAGCTTCATTACCCAAGAGCAGGACTCCCAGTCCGCCTTTGGCCTGTGTAATGTATGGTCAAGTAATTCCTTTGCATTCAGGACATTTGTTTCCCAAAAACTGCCTCATGTTTTTGCTCTTTTTGCTCTTAAATTTTTGTTTCTTCAGGTTTCATCTGGGGTCCTATACCATACAAAGTATTGTTGCTGGGTCGACACACCTGTTTTCAACAAAGGCGCATTTGTCTGAGGTTGGTTGTATAAAATGTTAGCAGGGAGACTAGGTCACCCTTTCCCCGTAGGCTGCTCAGTCTAAGTCAGTGTCTTGTCATGCCAGTTTCTGCCCCTTCTCTCTGTCGGCCGTGGTCAGTGCCAGCGATTCTGCCCTGGGATTACTTCTTAAGGGGGGATACCCAGCAATGAGGACAAATTCTGATGAGGAAGAATTCTGATTCCCTTCTCAACAGTATTCCCTCATCTGCCTGATACAAATCATTTTTTGAATTAAGACCAGCATATGCCAACTCTCTTTTTAAGTGGTAGTAAAAAGAGTTTTGGAGAATTCCATTCCAAGGTAGAACTGGGCATTAATTCTAACTTTAGACTACTTCATTTACTGTTATTTGGCTTTTTTTTTTTTTCCATTCTAAACTGGAAAAATTCATCCTTGTGGGCATAAGGGGAATTCATTTTTAAAATTACTTCAGATTTCACCATGTGTGATCAGGAACTTGATGTAAATACTTTGAATATTAAAGTACTTGGGGGCACCTGGGCGGCTCCGTGGGTTAAGCGTCTGCCTTCAGCTCAGTTCATGACCCCGGGGTCCTGGGATCGAGTCCTGCGCCGGGCTCCCTGCTCAGCGGGGAGCCTGCTTCTCCCTCTCCCAGCTCCCCCGCTTTGCTCTTACTCTCTCTTGCTATCTCTCTCTCAAATAAATAAATAAAATCTTTAAAAAATAAAAAATAAATTAAAAATAAATAAAGTCCTTCTTGTCTGTACTTCTTCCAAGACCTCAGCATAGCCATGACTCAGTTAAAGCTTATCTGAAAAGGATATTCAGAGTTACCTGTGATACACTGTTCTTCTTTTGAAATACTTCTGCGTGCAACTTACAGGTCCAGGCGTTCTTTGAAAATCAGTCAGAGGCAACCTTTCGGCTTCACTGTGTCCAGGAGGCTTTGGAAGTCATCCAGTTGAATATCCGATGGATGGAAAAGAACCTCAAAACTCTGACATGGTGGCTCTAGCATGCACAGCTGCGCCCCATTTTGTCGCCCATTCAGAGAGCTTGTTAACGTGGGCTCTGCTGCTTTTGCAAAAAGCCAAGGTGAAGCCAGAATTGCTGCCAAGTTGTTGGCACTCTTAGGAGTTCTAGTTCGCTCAGGGCCCGTCTGTATTTTTCATCCGTCTTTCTCGAATTGTCTTTGGGCAGTATGTAGTTATTTATTACAAAATTATATGCACCTGTATGCCAACATCTACAAAAACAGTGAGTAATTTTTCTACTTTGAAGATACGCAAATGGGGGAAAAACCTCCGTTTTGGCATTCTGTTCGGTTTCTCAGTATCCGGAAAGTACTGACACAGTGCAACAAGGATCTACCGTGGGAGCCGTCATCTTTGCAGGTGCTGCTTTGTCAGCCATTCGTTGCTTCTTAGTGATAGACGATAGATGTTACTTTAATGTGGTACAGAACTTAGCTTCAAAAGCTATGGCAATGAAGTCGACGCATCCTACAGCTGTTAGAAAACCGATCTCAGGTGTGCAGATCTACTTGGTTTGAGGTTTTGATTAATCCTTTATTTTCTGAAACAAAGTTTAAATAAGATCTATAACTTATATTTTTTTTCTGCAGGACAGCCAGGTGCTACAGAATTTTTAAATTTTTGTTGTACTGAAAAGCTAAGTAACAAGGACAAAAGATTAAATTTTCCAAATAGGTAATACTTATTTTTTCATCTTTTAGGAAAATGTTTCAAACTGAGTTAGCTTTAATTATAATTATTTTATTTATGAATTCCAGTATTCTCCAAATCTGTACACCTTTATCACTCCCTGCCATAGGTATATCTTACGTTATAGAGGAATATGTCTACATTTATGGCAAGCATTTTGTTAATACTGTTGTCTTTTATCATGACTATCACTGTTACTAGAATTAGTTTAGGTTGCCTTTGACATTACCTGATCATAGACACTTTCTCTGTGAGTCATACTCATGTGTAGATTTTCATGTTATATGGTAGCATATATTAGAAGCATATTTTAAAATAGGGTCTTTGAGAAATTGAACATTTTTATTTGAAGTTCACCATAGTACCTTAAAGGAATAAAGAGAATGTGGGATAGGAGTAACTTGATTCAGATTTAATATGGTGGGCTTTGAATTTTTTCTACTATCAAAATAGTACTTTTCTTTAGTTGAAAAATCAGTGGGTTTTGTTTGTTTTGTTTTATTTTGTTTTTTTCATGGCCAAAGTAGCTGATTAAAAGGAATGGCCAAGAAAAGAAAGAAAGAAAAGGGAAGATTTCCAAAACTGTATGGCATTTTCACTCCTTGTAAAGGAGAAATACTGTACTTGAATTTTTTGAGCTATGCAGACTTAGTATCTAGATTGTTGAGTTTCTTTGATTCTTAGGGGAAAAGCTTTCTTCCTAATAATTTTTGAGTACTTTATATTTTCTTTGAAAACATCTTCTGTGTACATAAAAAGGGTAGATACCCATTTGTGAGCACTTAAAACACTCCAGAGAATCAATGGGAAAGGTCACCTTTTTTAAGTTAGCAGGTATACAGTGAAAATATGTGGGATTGTGTATAAAATTATATTTTACTTTATGAAAATATTTTTATATAACAAAATTTAAAATGCTGGCAAGCTGAAAGGTAGCTTTCTTTAATCCTAGTGTGTTTTTTCCCAATTTAGTCTTTTCTAAACATTTACCTCTGGTTCAGAGTACAAACTATTATATCCTGAGAATCGCAGAATCCTCTAAAGATGTCTTATTGAAACTGGGGTGATTGTAGGTCTTTATTCCTCTTGTGCTTTAGCAGATGAATGATACTTTAGTTGATATTGGAAGTTAGTGTGTTTTTATATTTTTAGAGTGGGGAAAAATACTAAACTTTTGAGGGGTTTTTTGGTTGCTGGTTTTTTACCATGTTATATTACTGAATTCCACTTTGATACAGAGTTTAAATTTTGCTACTTCTCAACATCAGTTAAGATTTTTCAGTTATACCTGCCCATCTTTACATTGCTCCTGTAATGTATGTTAACTCTGCATATGGCAGATCTTGTCTTCAATTATATCATTTTTTCTGAGTGTGTGTGTGTGTGTGTGTGTGTGGGCAGAGGGTAATGTTTTAAGTAAATCCTTATCAAAACATGGGCTAAAAAAAAGAGGTAACTTGTAATTCATTGCTTTCTTTGTACTCACAACCTGTTCATTCCCATGATACCGGATCCCTGCTGGTTATAGTTCTATTTGTAGGCCTCACCTCAAGTATTTGTAGTTTTAGTAGCCCTCACCTCACATTGTCCCACAGAGTTCCATAATTTTCAAGTCAAGCTAACCCATCTCTGTGGTACTTCCAAAAACGAACTCTTGAGTCAGGAGGGATAAGTCTACGTAATAGATAGGACATGTGACATGACAGGCATAACTGTAGCTTTTGAAGTTTTACCAACCGCCCCCCCCCAACTTTGTCTTAGCCACGGTGTCTCTGAGAACTCCCATGTACATTCCTGCAGTCACAGCGCTTGGTCATGTGCACGCACAGATCCATGGCACCGTCAAGTATTAACGTTCATGGCAGAGACACAAGCTGCTTGAACGTAATAGAAGAGGCACATTATGCTGGGTGATTAAGAAAGGTAAAATTGGAAATTTGGAATTGTAGAAAGAAAGACTTGTGCTTTGGAGATCTGGAAGTAGAAATCTAAGGCGTCCAGTTTGTTAACAGCAAGAGATTGGATACATTAAACTGCAGGTAGTGTCTGGTCCCACCCCAAGCATGGGCCTTCCTCCAGGGCAGTGTTTGCTATAAATCCCTGTAAGTGAAACTGTGTTGCCATTGTGTGAGTGCTCCTGAACTTTCTTACCATTTTACCATCTCAGGTTCTGCTTAATTCTAATACTCTTTGCCATTCAGGTTTTCATTTTATTGTATGTTAATGTCTGTAGGAACAAAAGAGCTGTCAGAAGAGTTCTGGGTATGTAGAGGCTCGGGGGCTGTGTCAGTCTCCCTGGGACCAGAACAGAGTCCTTTCTGAATATTGGAAAGTAAGGAATGAAAGTTCCGTGCTGAGTTTGTCGGATTACTGGTAGCCCAGTACTCAGTTGTATTTTAAGAGCCTACGCAAACTAAAGCACCTGGAACCATAATGTGTGGTTGGATTGCCGAGTATTCAGGTAACCCCCATTCATTTCATGGGACTGCAGAGAAGGAGTATGAGCTCAGGACACGTATCATCGCGAGGTCAGCATCTCCTGGGTGGAGTTTGCAAAATGAGATCTGAATTTCGTAGGTATGATAGAGCTCTTTTTCTCCCCTTTGCCTTTGTCATTTGGTTTTTATTGGAATGAATTCTCTTTCTAAAGAGCTGCTTCTCTTGCCCCTCTGACACTCCCATTTGTACTTTAAAAAAAAAAAAAACTAATGTGTGTATTTTTGCTATTTTTTTTGCATTCTTTTATTTTGTGCTTCGTTCTCTGCGCCGGCAGCAAGTCCTGAATGAAAAATGGCAGTCCACATGTAGGATCAATCTCCTGTCCCCCCTTCCCCTTCTCGCCTGCACGTGCGATACGTCATAGTATAGTTGATTGAGGTCTTTGAGTGGCTCTTGGCGGGGGAGGGGGTATATACTTTTTAAATGTACATGTGTGGTTTTGAACTATTTTTATTTTCTTTCATTTTGTATACTTGCTTCTGATAAAGAGTGAGACGCCGTCCTGTGGAAATCTCTTCTGCCCTTCCCGTATTGCCTGTGTAGGCAACAGCTGCAGAGTAGTTATTTGATGTTTCTTTTTTGGAAGTTGATGGTGATACTGGGGGGAGAGCAGAGTATGTTCTGTTTAAAATGTGTACAGAATGGTTTTGCTGCTATTTTGTGGGTGTTATTTCACTTTGCACTTCATTCATCTTTCTCACGGGTGGGTATAGATATCTAATGAACTGTGGCGGTCCGGAAGTAGGTCAGATGTCCCGTGCACCCCTCCCCTTGTTGCTAATAACTAATAGAGCGGTTGTAGTTGCTCTTGTTGGGATCTCGTCTTGTGGGGTGGGGCAGATGTGTGTATATCTGTGTTATGCTCCTTTTTTAATGTTTCATTTTATATGTGTTCCTTTGCATGTGTGCATACACACTTAGTGAAAGTTGAGGTTCAGAGTATGACATTTCCTGTTTGCCCTATTCCGTATTGCCTCCTTGGGTGGTAGCTAATGTTTTGTTTTGTGTTGTGGGGTGGGAGAAAGTAGGGTATGTACTTAATGTATATAAATAGACTTCCTACTACTTTGTATTACTTATTCATTTCGTACTATGTCCTCCTCAGAGGACGCCGAGTACCTAATGAGACGTGGAGGTCCGGATGTATGACAATCTCCTCTTGTCCCCTTCCCTTATTGCCTGAGTGGGCAATAGCTAGTAGAGTAGTTGTTGGAGTGGGTTGGCAGGGGGGGGGGGGGGGGAGGTTGGGGGAAGGGATGTGTACATGCTGTATATACCTGTTTTTACTACCAAGTTGTATTATTTTCATTGGGTACCCTGACTGGAAGTTACCCAATGAACCACGGAGGTCCGGATGTATAACAATTTCCTCTTGTCCCCTTCCCTTATTGCCTGAGTGGGCAATGACTAGTAGAGCAGTTAATTAGTTTCAGGGGTTCTTTTGTAGGTTTGGGGTTAACTATTTTTAAATATATATATATATATATATACATATATCCATGTTTTTACTTCCTTATTATAGTATTTCACTGGGTACCCAGTCCTTCACTCGGACACGTAGGTTCCTAATGAACCGTGGAGTTTTAGATGTATAGCAATCTCCTCTTCTCCCTTTCCCTTTTTATCTATGTAGGCAATAATTTTCAGTGGTTTGGGTTTTTTGAAGTCTTGGGGGGTGGGAAGGGACTAAGGGCAGGATATATACTTTTGAAAACTGTATGTACAGTGTTTGTTACTATATTGTGTTATTCCATTTTGTACCCCGTCCCTTCCTTGGACGTGGAGGTACCTAATGAGACGTGGAGGTCCGGATGTATGAAAATCTCCTCTTGTCCCCTTTCCTTATTGCCTCTGTGGGCAATAGTTTTAGAGTAGTTCTAGATTAATGTTTTTACTCTACCCCTCCCTCCCGTGGGAGGGTGGGGGATATGTACTTTTTAAAATGTATATAAATATTTTTGTTCCTTTTTTCTGTTACTACATCTTGTACCTAGATCTTTCCATGGATATTTAGGTACATGATGAAAATTAAGGTTCATTCTATGAGAAAAATCTCCTCTTCTCCCCTTCCCTTATTGCCTATCTGGGCAATGACTAGCGGCGCAGTTGTTTAGAGGGGTTTTTTGGCAGGGTGGAGGGGGGATTTCTGGGTTTACATTTTTAAAAAGGTATATAAATGTCTGCTGTGTTGTTGTTGTTGTTCTGCTCTTTTCCTTTGAACCGATTTTTTTTTGTTTGGATTTGTAGATATGCAATGTAGTGCAGAGGCCCAACTCCAGAGGCGTGATAAACCGTTTCTCTCTTCCCCTATAGCCTGTGCACGATTGTATGAGAGTACTGTAGGACTCGGTGTTTGTTGTGTTTGAAGTTCTTAATGGGGAATGGGCTTATTAGGTAAGATAGGTGATTTTTTAAATGTATATAAATGTTTCTGCCTCTTTTTGGCGTTCACTTCATTTTGAATCTAGTCCTTTGCATGACTGTTAAGGTACTTACTGAAAGTTGAGATTGATTCTATGAAAAATCTCCCCTATTCCCTTCCCTCATTGCCTGGCGGGCAGTGGTAGAAGAATAGATGTTTATTTCTTTTTTTGGAGGGGTGGGGGGTGGGAGTATTCTGAATGAGTGAGGGGCAGAGTGTGTATGTGTATGTGTGTGTGTGCATGTGTGTGTGCATGTAAAATTTTTTTAAATGTATATAAATGTTTGCTACGTTTTGTGTCTTATTTCACTTAGTACTCAGTCCTTTGTGGGGACTTGTAGGTACATAATGAAACATGGAGGTCCATACGTATGATAAATCTCCTCTGCGTCCCTTCCCTCACTGCCTGCATGGGCAATAGTTTTATAATTTGGGGTAGTTTTTTTTTAAGGGGGAGAGATGATTTGGGTGGGTCTTGGGGAGGGGAAAAGAACAGGGTATGAACTTTTAAAACCTGTATATCAGTGTTTTCCTATTATTGATTTTGTACCTAGTCTTGGCATGATGTATAGGTACCGGATGAAAGTGGAGGACCAGTGTATGACAGATCTCCCCTTCTCCCCTTCCCTTATTGCCTGTGTTAGCAATAGTGAGCAGAAGAGTTGTGTGCTGTTTATTTACTTGTTTTTTTTGGAGGGGTTTATGTTTGTGGCAGGGGAATATTCTTAATACATATGAATATGGGTGGGGCTTTTTTTGTTTCATTTTGTATTTAGTTCTTTGCATGGCTATCTATATTGGGACCTAATGAAAATTGAGTTTCATAAATTGACAGATCGCTTCTTCCTTTCCCACATATTTCCTCATTTAGCAGTGCCTAGTATAGTTGTTGTTTTGTGGTTATTTTGTTTTATTCCTAGGATATATGCCTTTAAAAATGTAAATATATATAAGCATGTAACTAATCTGCTTTTTTTTTTTTTTCATTATTTTTCATTAATACGTAGTCCCTTTCAGGGCTGTGCATGGATCTAACAAAAATCAAGTCCCACCAAATCCCTGCCGTCTGACTTGAAAGTCACTGGGGTAGTGTAACTCATGGCAACAGGTATATAGCAAATAAGTTGGGAGAAGACACTTGGATCTGGTTGACTTATGAAAGCTAATCAGATTCAGCGTTTCTTACGCTGATTCAGACGGAAGGAAATGGTGAAAAGGGGCCTGTGCTTTGGAGATTCCAGACAGGCAAGAGGACAGGACTAAGGAAAAAGTAGGTTTAAAGGTCATTGCTGATTAATCTTTCAGTAACTGGTAAGCCAGTGAAAGTGCTGCCTGGAACTTACATGAAGACGAGAGTAGCTTCTTTTGGGGGCCTGGAATTCTGACTTACCTCCAGAAGTCCCCTGCAGTTCCATCGATAGCATATTCTTATGTAACTGATAGAACTTATT